AGAGAGAGAGAGAGAGAGAGAAAGTAGGGGGGAAACCCCCTGCACCACAGCCCTGGCGAAAGAAAGAGAGAAAGTGTGTAGGTTCGTGTAGGCGAGCTTGTCGGCTCGGAGGGCTTAGCATGCTCCGCATGCCCAGGAGACAAGACAAGACAAGACAAGAGATTGTGTAGGCATTCGGCCTCGTGCAGACGGTATACCCCGAGCAAGCAAGAGAGTGACCAAGGAAACGAGGGGAGAACACAGGCAGGACACGGAACGCGTTGCACGACATCCTCACCTGGACACCGCGGAGAAGCCAAAAGCTGCACTTGCTGCCCCTGCACCCAAAGCTCCCCAGAGAGTCTTCGAGTGAACCCACTCTAAAACGGAGCAGCACGAGCAACAAATGCAGACCTCGTGGCACCAACACAGCAACGACCAAGGCCCGGACCGGTCCCTGGGCACACCAGAGTCGCAGAAGCCAAAGGACCGACGGCCCTCGGCAAGTGTGACGAAGAGCGAAGGGTACCAGGCTGAGAGAAGCAAACAGGGTGGGTAGGCCCGGAATTTTGCCTGCAGAAAGCGGCAACTCTTCCGTGTGACCAAACAAGCCAGACTATCGCTTAGTTGAAGAAAGGGACTCGTGTGCAGTTGCAGTTCCAGAAAGCGCACCCAACCTTTCCCCCCCTGTTCCTCTTCTTTCCTTTCACTCCGAAACACGTAAAAAGGGACCCACACCATCCCTCCCCCTCTCTCTCACCCTCTCTCCCGGGCATACGAGTAGGGGCCTGTCAAAGCCCCGGGCATCATGCCCACCCGACGTTCTATCGGGCAAAGGGAGTGAAGAACGAATGTAGATCATCAGAAGGCCTAAGACCATATCTCTCATTCTCTCTCCCTCTTCCTGCACAAGGTTAAGAGGACGGGGAATGGCCCCGACCTTCGCGTTGTTTTCGCTTGCTTGCTTGCTTGCTTGCTTGGCATCTGGAGAGTCGGGCGCGCACCCTCCCCCCCTTGCGCCGCAGCGCTATGCCAACGTCCGAGTCTGGAGATGACTGGTTTTGGGGGCGTGAGCCCCTCCAGCAGGGGACCAGTTCCGAGGCCCCGGCAGATAGGTGCTGGTCTGGCTCCAGCCAAAAGACTAGGCAGAACATTACAGACAGACCGCCTGTCGACGGTCGGAACCAGCAAAGTGTCCCAGGCGGGGTGCATCTGCAAGGGAGATAAGGGCTGCCTTCAAGGGGACGCCATCCTAACCGACCAGGGCAGGGTCCAAGCGATCCTGAGCCCAAACGCCGGGCAAGCAAGCAAGCAAGATGGTGGGTGTTCCTTGCAAGACCGAAGGGGCCTCCAAGTCGAACTGAAGCGAAGTGTGGGGGGCGGGTAGGCCCCCGGGCCAGGTCCGTCCCCAAACCCCCGGCAAGCAAGCAAGGGAGGGAGGGAGGGAGGGA